CCTGAGCGTTTCTGCACAGGGCGGCCATTGAAATTCTGAGACGCACGAGGAGCTTGCAATCGGCGGCCCTAAACCCTAAACTCTAAACCTGAAACCCTAAACCCTAAAACCTAAATCCTAAACCCTAAACCTTAATCCCTAATCCCTAAACAGTAAATACATCTCAAAACCGCCAAGGAGCAGCTGCAGCTGCTCCTGGAGGTCATCACGCTCCTGCTCCAGCCTCCACTGGCCCCAGGGCAGAGGGGCTCTCAGGGGGTTCAGGATCTTAGCTAACCCCTAAACCCTAAACCCTAAACCCTAAACCCTAAACCCTAAACCGTTCAGGATCTTTGGGGTTTAGGGCTTAGGATCTTAGAGGTTCAGGATCCTTGGGGCTGAGGGTTCAGGATCTTTGGGGTTTGGGGATTTAGGGGTTCAGAATCTTTGGGGTTTAGGGCGTAGGGTTTAGGGCAAGTTTAGGGGTTCAGGATCTTTGGGGTTTAGGGCTTTAGGGTTCTAGGGGTTCAGAATCTTTGGGGTTCATGGCTTTAGGGTTTCAGGGTTTCGGGCTTAGGGCTTCTAGGGTTTAGGGCTTTAGGGCTTTAGGGTTTTAGGGTTTAGGGTTTGGGGTTTCGGGTTTCGGGCTTGGGGTGGCCTTTTTGTGTGTTTTAAAGGCTCGCACTTCATACTGTTCAGGCTTAGTTAGGGTTTAGGGTTTAGGGTGTTTTGGGTTTAAGGTTCAGGGTCTAGGGTTTAGGGTTTAGGTTTCAGCAGCTTCAGTTAAAGCAGTCTATAGACGAGCTCACTACTTTGGTATCGGAAAGTCATAGCACCCACATGGTTGGATCCCATACATTAGGACATTAGGAAAGCTGGAACCTATCAAACAGTAACTCCAATAGAATTACTAATGCTATTTTGGAGTTGGCTTTTTTCGGTAACCCATAATTTTTTAGTATGCACGAAAACCCGAATCCAATCAATAAGGCCGCTACATTACTCCACTATGGTCTCAGGTTTAGGAGGTTCGAGTATTTACCAACCAAAGCCCCGCAGATTCTGATGCCCGATAGTCAAAACAGAGAAAAGAAATCCCACTACGTCTACATGCTTTAGGTTTTAGGGTTTAGGGTTTAGGGTTTCCAACATCCTTGGGGCTTCTCAAAACTTGACAGGGCGCTGTTGCGCATACTCCATCGTCTGCCGAAGATTCTCCTGAGGATCTTCATCGGCTGAGGTCATCCGAAATCATCTAACAATTCGGCCCAAACCCTAAACCCTATGTTTGTTTTTGAGGATTTGAGGGTTTCAGACTTACAGCAAGTGGTGAGAGTTGGCAGGCTGTCGACCTGCTGTGCCTCCCGCTCCGGGTGCTCATGTTTGCAGCCTTGATGCGCAAGGCTTGCATCTTCTTACATCTCATACAGAGCCTTAAGAATCAGCATGGCGTCTTGGGGTATGTTCAAGCATAGCTATGAGGGAACTATGCGAGATGCACTAATAACTACTCCGACCTCTGTATTCATGTAGAGTTGCGACGCGGCCTTGACACTGGAGAGGGCAAAAGAGGGAGACAAAGGGATGACCTGATGGACTCATGGTGCGACTGTTCAATCATTCCGAAACCCTAAATTTAGGGTTTAGGGTTTAGGGTTCCGAAACCGTTAACCCTAAACCCTCATTCCTCGTCTTGGTATTCTGGCCAAGCCCGAAACCCAATAACCTAAACCCTTCCTGACTCAGGTTCTTGGTAAGGAACTGAATTCAAGCTACCATAGTAAGGATACCCTACTATGTACTATAAGCCCCTATTGTGGTAACTCAATTAAACTAAGACGCTTAGAAGGAGCCCAGTGAGTCAGGTTCTGCGTGGCTGAGGCTTGGTCTTCAGTCATCTTAGCTTCCACAAAAGCTTTTTGAGGTTTACGTTTAGGGGTTTAGGGTTTAGGGTTAGGAGCTCCCTCAGTGACTAGCATCACTCTTGTTCAAAGCTCTGTTGTGTAACCATCCATGGTGCTTCTTCCCTAAACCCCAAACCCGATGCCCGAAATCCTAAACCCTGATCTGCCTCCTGGGTATCCAAGTGGAGCGAATGGGCCGCTGCCTTCGGAGCTCGCCAAACTAAAACCCAAACTATTCTCTCACAACATACACGAGAAGCCCTGCATGCACTCACCAAAATCCCTAAAGATGAAAAAGGGGGGTTGAGGTTTAGGCGGAACGATGCTCCAGGTACGACGGTACGACTTGTGGTGTATATTGAAGCTGCGGCGAGTGTGGCTCCTGTAGAATGCTGATCAGGGTGTCTTTGGGTTCCCTGTTGTGGATTTTTTCCTTGCGACGCTACACATCCAACGTCCCAGCTATCTTTCCTGGGTCCGTGTTGGCTGCAAGTTTACATTTTCTTTATAATAAAACCCCAAAACGATTAAAACTAATCATGTTTAATACAGCCCCAGTTTCCTTGGGACATTACACCATAAACCAAATGGCAACACACAGTTGTGTTGGCCTTCGTCTCCATGTGCCACTCTTTGAAGGAATTCGCTAACCTGAGCGTGCAGTTAGGGCTCAGGAATCAGGGCGTGGGTTGGGGTTTTAGGGTTTAGGGGTTAGGGTTTAGTGCCTTCTTTCCTTTCCACTAAAGAAGTCCAGCACACATAGAGCGCAGTGGATTTGGAGTGTCAAGCTTACCACTTACCAGTGCAGTGGAGCGTCTGGCAGGCCGTACATTTCCCCGATAATTTCGAAGATTTGTCCCGGCTCAACGCCCGGTATGCCCACCTGGCGGTGCCCTCGCGAACAGTCTTCCGTTGCGCCTGATCCGCGGCCCAGATTGGGTAAACGCGGCCTTTAAATCGCCACAGCTGCCTGCAAACTTCTTGGTCGCCGCCAGCTGCAGGATGACCTGGAGGTTCTGAGTGCTCACCGTGGGCGCGTACTTGTCCAATTCGAACACGTCGGGGTCCTTATCGCCTCGTATGCAAAGGCGGCTCTTGAAGCTGGGTGTATCTCCGATCTGCTCCCCCGGCTTCAGTCTCCTGAACCTCGCCCGCAAAATCCTGCCTTTTTAAGGAGTTGATAGAAGGAAACCATAATAAGGAAGCCTGCAAACCTAGGTTTTCTAGGGGCCGGGTATGACTTCGAGTTCAGTTTTGAAATGTTTTGAGGTTGCAAAGCTCTCGGTCGATGGTACTCTTGGCCCGTCAGGGGGTGAGCTCTGCATCATCCCTAAACCCTATTTCCTCAACCCTGAACCCTCCAACCCTAACCTCCGAAACCAAAAACCCTAAAGCACTCAGTCATTGATTAGGGCTTACCGCTCCTTCTCAGCGAATTCTTTTTGTCAAGGAGTGTCCGGGATGTAAGGGATTTGGGGCTAAGCGCTACTGGATTTCGAACTGCCTCCGCCAAGACTTGAATGATTCAGATATGACTTACCTAAACCCTAAACTCTAAACCCTAAACCCAAAGCCACAAAGCCCTACACACTAGACCCCAAAAGTGACTTTTGGGGCTTCATGGCTTAGAGCGAACCCAGGCCACCGAGGTAGACCAACTTCTTCAGCCCAAAATAGCGGGGTTTAGGGTTTAGGGTTTTAGGGTTTTAGGGTTTAGGGTTTAGGGTTTTAGGGTTTAGATATTTTACTGTCACAAGACTCAGCGTGAGTCTTCAGGAACACCCTGGGGATAGAAGGCTTGCGCCCAAGTGCATCGGATCCGTTCTTTACAGACAGGGCTCGGGGCACGCAGGGGCTGTATATGGGGTGTACGGAGTATCGGATTTCGGAAAGAGAAGGGGTGCCCAACGGCTCTTAAGTAAAGACTCATTCTGAGAGGAAGTTCGATGTTTGAGGAGCTTTCGTGCTTAAGCTGTTGCGACATTTAATGCGAGTTAAAAGGTTTCAGCTTAAGCTGAACAGATTCGGGATAAGGATTCGAAACCCTGACCCCGATCCTTGGAGGAGGATGTCAGGTTTAGGGTTTAGGGATTAGGGTTTTAGGGTTTAGGGTTGAGGGGTTGTGGGGCCCTAAACCCAAAGGCCGTAGGGTTTAGGGATCAGGGTTTAGGGTTTTAGGGTTTTGGGTTGAGGGGTTGTGGGGCCCTAAACCCAAAGGCCGTAAATGGCCCTAAACCCCAGCACCATAACATCGACCATCAACCCTGCAGCCACGGCCCTGAGCTCGTACCAGGGCTTAGGGCGTAGGGTTTAGGAGTTTAGGGCTTAGGGTTTAGGATTTAGGGTTTTGGGTTTAGGGTTTAGGGGTTTAGGAGTTTAGGGCTTAGGGTTCAGGGTTTAGGGTTCAGGGTTTAGGGTTTAGGCTTTAGGAAGCATTTGGAATGCAGGGGTTCGGTGTTCAGGCCATGCTGGGCTGATTGAAGCATAGCTCCTAAGTTATGGTTCTTG